GAAGCTCCATGACGCACGTACTTATATGACACATGCTTGAAAACAGAGTTGTGCCATAGCAACCCAGTATATATTTTGAGCTGTAAGTGTAAGCATATTAAAGGTACCCCTGCCCGTACGGGCCAGTCTTGACAGACTCTAGGGTTGTGCGCCCATCTCACTCAAGAGGCCGGGGGCCAGCGCTGTCCGGAGATACTTCCGGGTCACGTGGCCAGCGTGACATTGCTGCTCTGGCGAGCCAGAGCTGCACACGGAAACGCCGTTTACCTTCCCGCTAGTAAGCGGTCCCTATTTATCTACTTGCACCCGGGAGTGCTTTCGAACTGCTAGGTTGGCAGGCGCTGGGACCGAACAACAGGAGCGCACCCCGCCGCGGGGATTCGAACCGCCGACCTTTCGATTGGCAAGCCCTAGGCGCTGAGGCTTTTACCCACAGCGCCACCCGCGTCCCTGTAAGCATATTAGGCATACCTAAAATCGTAAAATGTGTTGACCCATAAGTTCATTTCACAAATTGGTGTGGAACGGGTCTGTAATTAGTGATTGAAATAAACCATTAACAAATCATCTCAGCATTTACATAGCACTTTGGGGTGTTCAAAAACTTTGGACACATGGTCACAATAAGTTTTACAACCACATTGTAAGGTAGGTCATTATCATCCTAATCACCATCTATATTCTTGGGGAGTTCATTGCAGAAGTTAGATTTGAACCAGAAGTTGCAGCCAATGCTCTGCACCTGTATTTGAGAGATAGATTGTGGATCTCTCTCTCTCTCTCTCTCTCTCTCTCTCTCTCTCTCTCTCTCTCTCTCCCCCCAGCTAATTTCCAATATTGTGTTCCTGTATAAAATGTAAAGAACCAAAGAACCAATAAGATTTCTGTCCCTGATTAGAGAGCACCCCTTTCCAAGTTCTTTGTATGGAAGTTGGTACTTTCCAGAATCTTCCATAGCCCTTGCCTGCTGTTCTCCATCTACTATGGAAACTTGGTTTTCTTTCATTTTTTAAAAAATAGCACAACATGGTACACAGTTTTTAAAACAGTTTTGAAAATACGCTAAAAATGCTACACTATCTGATGAAGGCATTATTGACGGCAGAAGCTATATTTAAAACAAAAACAAAAACAGAGGATTGCAAGGGAATAAAAGGGCATGGAAAACCTTCAATCCATCTGGCCAGTGGAATTCACAGTGGCAAGACTCTGGTGGTCTTGTCAAGCCCCCTGGACCAGAGAGGACTTGTATGGGTGAAAGGATAAATGACTCCCAAACAGGGAACGGGCCAGACTTGCTATTATCCTCTAGAATTAGAGCCATCTAGATGTCTTCTTGCGTTTGGGGCCAAAATCCTGACATTTTGCTCCTCAGCTGGAAAAACTTACAATGACAATTTGTCACACTTGTTTTGCATCTCAGTCTCATTTTGCCTGATTGAAAAGCCTGAACGTTCTGTATATCTGAACTTTAGCATACCTTTTTGCTAGGACAGCAAGGTTCAGTCAATAGAATAACGAACTAATATGTCTGTTGATTAATCAGAGGAGTTAAAGCCACACTTGCTTTTTAAGGCTACTTTAGTTTTGGTACGTTGTTGTGACAGGAAATGAAAAATAGCATATTTAAAGATGGCCGCCCTTTTTAACTTCTAAGAGGGGTCGGGTTTTCCCCTTGTTGAGTTAAACTTTAGGTTTTCTTATATTTCCTTCACTCTCTTAAAAAGGGGCCTGTCCTAATATTCTGGTAATTTTCAAATATAAATGTAATTGATTAATTAATCACTGAAAATACACAAATCAATTAAGCATTCTTTAATCAACCCAGAGAGCCTCAACTTGTTACAAATGTGTTTTGAAATTATAGCATAAAACCCGGACTATACATCTTTTACAGTCCAAGTTGAACAATGATTGTGAGTGAGGCTCTCTAGGCCACGGGGCAGAGTGGTTAACCAATCCTTTTATTATTATTATTTCTGGATGGTTTTGGGGCATAAGGAGCTTGGATTATTTTAGCCGTATGTCAAGGAAGGATGCCCAGAGCCTCTAGCTCTCTGCAAAGGTGAAGAAACAATGGAAGGGCAAGTATGTGGTGTGCTGTGTGGTATATGGGTTGGTTGTCGTTGTTAGTTGTGGAGGTGGTGGTTGTTTGTGTGTTTTTAAGGATTCTGTTGACCTGACGCAAATCAAGTTCTGTGGAGTGTAATTATGGACTCTTTCTGTTTATTCCATTAGGAAAGAAAACAAGATGGCCATCTGCCACGGATGCTTTAGTCCAGGGGTCTGCAACCTTTAAGACAAAAAGAGCCACTTGGACCCGTTTCTGAAGAAAAAACAACCTGGGAGCCGCAAAACCATTGCGACATTTAAAGCATGCGCGCCGCTGCCCTCCGATCTGACAGCGGGCGGGAAGGTGACGTCGGGACGGTGCGTGAGTAACGCACGCACTGCCCCCATGCGACGTCACAGCCAGTACAGCGCCCGCCACAGTGGGGAGTGTCGGGGCGCACAATACACCTCCTCCCCTCGCTAGTATCCGCCCCGGAGCCGCGGCAAAGGTGTAAAAGAGCCACATGCGGCTCCAGAGCCGCGGGTTGCAGACCCCTGCTTTAGTAGTAGTAGTAGTTATTTTATTGAATTTATATACTGCCCTATAACCGGAGGTTGAGATTCCTGCATTGCAGGGTGCTGGACTAGATGACCATCAGGGTCTCTTCCCACTCTACAATTCTGTGATTCTAAGATAGATGTACGCAGCAAATACGCTAGCAAATAAGAGGTATCCACAGTGACTGCATATTTGCTTCTGCTAGCCCAACAGGCACATGGATCAGAAGATAAACATGGGCAGCTATGAGGTGGGACAGGGAGAAATTATTGCTCTGCAGCCCAGCAGTTAAGCTTTTTGTGTGTCTCAAACCGTTAGAAGGGCCATGAGATTAGATAAGTCCTGTGCTGTTTGCATCCTATCCTCAAGACCCAGGACAATGGGCCAAAAGTATCTTGCGGGGGGCGGGGGGGTCCTCTATGCTGATGCTAACAAGGACAGCTACCTCCTATAACCAAGATAAACAGGCAATCCTGTAATATAGTAACTAATTTAATAATAATAATTTTTATTTATACCCCGCCCTCCCCGGCCAAGGCTGGGCTCAGGGTGGCTAACAAGCAATAATAAAAACAAGTTGAATGAAAACAACTTAAAAGCAAGATTAAAATACAACATTAAAATATTGAAACATTAAAATATTAAAATGCAGCCTCATCACAGGAGGAGAAAGGAAAAAGGAAAAAGAAAGGGGGGGGGAATCAAATTGGCTCCAAGCCAAAGGCCAGGTGGAAAACAACTCTGTAAGATGAAAGCATTTAAATGTGACACTTGTGTGATATAGTTGGAAAATAAAAAGCTAAGGAGAAAATCCTACACAAATCCAGAGTGGCGTCCCTAAGACAGTTGGGTGGCGTCTTGTACGCCTCCTTCCCGCAACTCCGGCAGCCAGACCAGTGCGAAATGTATTGCTTTCCTTTCCTTTGGGAGGCAGAGAGGAGAGTCTTGTTATTTGGGCAGACCAGAACCTCCGGACACACTGCCCAGGCTGGTGCCCCTGGAGAGGTCAATTTGGTACAGTGGTACCTCAAGTTACATACACTTCAGGTGACATACGCTTCAGGTTACAGACCCCGCTAACCCAGAAATAGTGCTTGGCCCATTTGCTTCAGAACAGAAATCGTGCTCTGGTGGCACGGCGGCAGCAGGAGGCCCCATTAGCTAAAAGTAGTGCTTCAGGTTAAGAACTGACCTCTGGAACGAATTAAGTACTTAACCTGAGGTGCCACTGTACTGCTAACGCAGCAGTTTGATTTCACACCCACCCACACCCCGCACACTCCGTTGTCTCTTGAGACAGACAGATGCCAATGACTGCGACCCACCTAGAGCAAAAGCTAGATAGATGTCCTGTTTCTGCTGCCTGACTTGGACTGCAAAAGTTGAGCGGTTGCTCACAGGTCAAAAGGCGCCTGGCTGGCTGACAAGGTTACACTGGACTCCTAAGTTTTGCATGCCTGGTTTCAGTTAAAGTCAAATGAATCTGACGGAAAGGCAGGGCATAAAACTCAAGAGGAAAATAAACAAGGTGCTTACTGGGGAAATTTTGCAGTTCCTTCGGCCTTTATTTTAGAAACTTTTATATATGAAAAGCCCCCACCTGTGGAGTTGCTGTTCTCAAAGCTTTAAAAATGACCCAGACCTGCAGTTGTTGAGTGGGCTCCCTCCTCTTCAGGGAGGAAAGAGTTAAGCTTCACAGCCCTCGCTAAGGAGGAAGCCACATGATGGAAAATCTTGGGGTGGGGGTGGAGAGAGGAGAGAGAGCTGAAAAGCTTTCATAAGTGCCTAGAGGGCAGAACTTTCCAACCGCAAGGGAGGAAGCAGTAGGTTCCCTGACCAACTGCTGAGTTTTGGATGCAAAAAAAACCACACAAACTGAAGTGAGGACAAAACATACATATTTCCTGTAAGGTGACACCATTGATGAACCGGGAGCGGGAGCACAAACCTATCCAGCACTCCTACCCCGCAATATCAAGCAGAGTGGATTTCCAAAAGCCCATCTGATTTGATAAGAGAAATTCTGTGTGTGTGTGTGAGAGAGAGAGAAGCCGAAAAGGGTATTTTGCTCGGTCAGATAAGACTTCTGCTGCGTATTTAATGCAAGATCTCTGCATCTCACCTACAGCGCAGTTTTCATGCATGCCAAAAATAGCGAAATCAGAGGAAATCCAGTTTCTAAAAATAAGTTGGGTGATATTGAAACTTTCACAAGGCGAAAGGCAGATTGTGTGAGATCTGCAGATCCGGGGTGGGGCGGATCTCTTAGTACACGAAGGACCGAAGAGATTTTTTAAAGGGGGAAATATTGAGATGGGGGAAGATAAATAATCCACCCAGGATAGGGCTCAGTAAGTTACAGGCATAAACGGGCCTCCTTTCTCCTTACCTTTCTGTTGTTGGATCAGAGCAGTTCAGGGGATACCTCAGGTCTATGATGGTCCCATCCTTATCTTGCAGGGATCCCTGCTGCTGTGTGTAATATTCAACCAGTTCTGACAAAGTGGCAAACTTCTCTCCTCCATAGAGGTCATAAAAGTCCCCCGTATTCTGGATACGGATGTGGGTTACCTGGTCACCGATCCTGCAAGGAGAGGCAGAAAAGCACCTGGTCAAGAAAAGTTGGAGGTGCTAGGAATTGTGGAGGGGAGTGAGGAGGATGAAGCTGCTTCCATGGGTCAACTGGGGTGTGTTGTCATCAGCAGGGTTTAACCTCAGCACTCGGCCCCAGACAAGTAAAATAACGTCAGCCTTTCATTTAGGCTGCAGACACACTATTATCTTTAAAGCACATTCAAAGCACACCACGCAAACAAGGAATCTTGGGAACTGTAGCTTAACCCCCAATGGTGCTACAATTCCCAACACCTGTACAAACAACAATTGCCAGGATTTATTGGCTGGGGAGTTGAAGATACTTTAAAGGTATTGTGTGTACACAGTCTCATAGTGGAGTACAGTGGTACCTCGGGTTAAGTACTTAATTCGTTCTGGAGGTCTGTTCTTAATCTGAAACTGTTCTTAACCTGAAGCACCACTTTAGCTAATGGGGCCTCCCACTGCCGCCTCACGATTTCTGTTCTCATCCTGAAGCAAAGTTCTTAACCCGAGGTACTATTTCTGGGTTAGTGGAGTCTGTAACCTGAAGCGTATGTAACCTGAAGCATATGTAACCCAAGGTACCACTGTACCAGATAATAATTTGTGGCAGGGAAACGGAAAAGATGTTATCCAAAGGATATGGCTCCCATTACGCATGTGCACACTTGACGTTTCTTCCAGATAATAAACAGTGAGAGCTTTCTTTCCTCCTGAAGCAAACCAGAGAATTCTATGGGACATGGAATAGTTACCAAAGGTGTTTTTATTTGAAATGGCATATAAAGCAAATCTGGGGGTTCTGATGAATTTCTGGATGAAGATAAAAGACTAGTTCAGGGAAGAAATTTCAGTATGATCATAGAACTGTAGAGTTGGAAGGGACCTTGAGGGTCATCTAGTCCAGCCCCCTGCAATGCTGGAATCTCAACTAAAGCATCCATGGAAGGTGGATCCACGACAGACACGAAACATCAGGAGGAGCTTTCTGACCGTGAGTCTGTGGTTCTAGTGAAATGTCTCAAGCAGTTGGATTTTCACATCCCTGAGATTGAGAAGAACTAAGCAGGCAGCATCTGCCCCAGAATCTGTGTAGCACAACCACGAAGCTGGTGAAGGAAGTCCACAGCCTTAAGGGAGTGTCTGCACCCTCAGCCCAATGGCAGAACAGGACCTTCCAACTCCAGTTTCTGGCAGCTTTCCAGATGCTGTCAACATGGGCAATTGGTTGGCAACTGAGGGAGAAGTAAGCTTATAACCTGGGCTTCCTTGGCCTAACTAAATCTGGCCTGCCCATTGTTTAGGGCTGGAACGGGGATCTAGTTGCCAGAAAAGTAGGTTAGGGAAGGAGAAACAGCTATTTTTCGTCTTCTTGCTCCATTTCCATCCACCTTAGCTTTAACATACAGAGATACCTCGGGTTAAGAACTTAATTCGTTCTGGAGGTCCGTTCTTAACCTGAAACTGTTCTTAACCTGAGGTACCACTTTAGCTAATGGGGCCTCCTGCCGCCGCCACAAATTTCTGTTCTCATCCTGAAGCAAAGTTCTTAACCCGAGGTACTGTATTTCTGGGTTAGCGGAGTCTGTAACCTGAAGCGTCTGTAACCCGAGGTACCACTGTATTGTTTTTTCACTGGCCTCCACCCTGAGCTTACCAAAAACTCTCCCATATCCCCCCATCCCCTGCAAAAAAAGGGCTATACTTTACTTGCTCTGACCCAGAAAAATTTACTCCCAGATCCTGGGAATCATACGAGTTGGATCATGTATTCCAACCTCCTGCAATTGCAGCTGTCCCATACAGGGATCGAACCTGCAACCTTGGGGTTATCAGCACCAGGCTCTGGCCAACTGTGCTGTCCAGGCAGAAGGAGAAGGCAACAAGCCCCCTATGGTCCCACGTCTCTCTTTAACCCCTTCATTCAACCCATCCAGGCTGCAGTCCCCGCTCTCCCACCCAGACTGACTCTTGAAACCCCTGTTTCAGTTTGCCTCGGAGTTTTCTGGATACCACTTTAAAAATTAACTATGAGGACAGGCACAAGGGGCTGTTACCCCCATCAATCGCAGAGGGAAACCCTCAGTGCGTCTGTAGGGCTGAACTATTCATGTGAGGTGGGTCCAGGCGAATGGACAGACAGTCCCATGGAGAGCTCCGTGGAAGGGAAGGAGAATGGTGCTCGGACGATTACCTGACAGAAAGGGAAAAATCTCCCTTGTTCTTCCGGCTGGGGCGAGCCAAAAAACTGCCATGAACGCCTCGTGCTTTGAGTAAGACCTCAGCATCAATGCCACTCAGATCACGGTGGAACCACCTGGGTTATGAGGGGAGAGAGAGAGAGAGAGTAGGAAAATGAGGATATAATAATAAACTGGGAGAAATGGAGGGAGGATGCAGCTTGCACAACTCAATCATCACAAGGAGGGTTCCTCAAGACTACTACATCTCAAGAAGGGCCAGAAGGCAGACATTCCTCTCCCAGAATCCTCTCCCCTCCACTTAGTTCCAGCAAAACCCTAGTTCGCACATGCATGTTCAAAGGCAACATCAACCAGCGAGCTTTTCAAGGCGTTCATGTCACACATTCAGCTGTCCTTCATCAACGGCACGTCCACATTTTCCTTTCACCCTAAGTGCTCTCTAGACCCAGGTTCACACTTTCCCCAAGAAAAGCTGCTCTTTAATGCTGAATTGGAACAAACAGCAATCTGGGTTTCCTGCAGATTGGCGTTTGCTCCAATCCAGCGGTAAATAATGGGGTTTTTTGTGGGGAAAGTGCCTGGGCAAAAAAAAGCGCTCAGACACAGTGCTTTAAAATGTGGAACTGTACCTAGAAATGTGACACAAAAGGCAGTCTGGATGACCCCTATGTAGGGGGTGGAGGGATGGCTACCTTAGGCATGTGGGAACTGCCTTTGAGGCAACTTTCCTGAGGGAGCAAAATGCCAGCCATTGAGAGCTCTGGGCTCTTTCTCAGTCCCAGCCACCAAATCCATAAAGCTCTACACAACTAACAGAACGGCCTCCTTCTACTTCCACTCACACATAACACAACATCCTAGCTGTAGTCCCGGGGCAGGAACTTTCGAAGTCCGGGATAAAGAAGGGGTTGGCCTTCCATTTGCATTCCCAGCTCTTTCCTTACCTCATTATCGTCAGCAGGCAGCAGGCGGAACCGAAAGAACAGCAAAATAATAGCAACAACTGGAGGGACTCGCTTTAAGATGTCGATAAAGGAGGAGTCAGCATCTACTTGGTGAAGCTCGCTAACTTTAAATGTTCCTTCGCTGCCTCTGTCCACCTACATCACACGCTTCCTCGGCCTCCTGGCTTCCATGGTGTCCAGTGTCTATTTGGGTTGGTGGGTAGGGGCAGACAGACCCAACCGAGGCAAGTGCACAGTTCAGAGCTGGCGTTCACTATTACAGGAACAGGAAGCATATCTAACTTATCGCCCCTATACATGCAAGCTGCTCTGCATACACTTCTGCTTCTCCTTTTGGGTCCCTCTCCTTCCGTTCCCTCCTCCCCGCTGCACCAGTATTTCTGGGGTTTTTTCGTGGGGAGGGAGGCTGCGAGGGCAAGACTGCACGTTTAACTGACACCTGTGGGGAACGGACACCGGCAACAAATGCAGGGATGATACGAAAAAGTGGTACCCAAGAAAGGTACGGGATACAGGATGGATACAAAGGGCTGTTTGTCAAGGCGCAGCATACCACAGCATGCTCATGTAACCATTTGGTAAACTGGTTGCCCGTACTATTCAGTCCAGAGGCAGGGAGAATTTTGCCGCTCTCTGGCTACTTCCCTAGATTTGTGATCAGACGGAGAAGTGTGGTGAGATTTTTCTCACAGCCTGCCATGATGATATAGGGAACGAGCCTATCCAGTGGTTATATGCATACAGTGTGGTAATTTACTATTGAGGGAATTATTGTTTCTTTATTTTATTATTTATTAAATTTGCATCATGTCCTTCATCCGTAGATCTCAGGGCAGTTCACAACATAAAATTACAATATGAAAGGAGGAAGATGGAGTCTGCGGAACTGGCAAGGCTAAGAGCAAAAATGAAGAGATCAAAATGACGAAACATTCTCTGAGGATTGGAGACCTTTTATAGAACATCTAAAAAACTATCATAGTTGCACGAAAACATGAGCAGGCTTTGAAATATGAGCAGCATTAAGGCTAATAATTTAGGATGGATATATGGAGTGTTATAAGATAAAATATGCAGCATTAAAGGATAAACATAGAACACCATTGAGGGTGAGGGGTTAGAATACAATGCATAAATTAAAGGTAGTGTTGATGGTAAATGTAAACTTTTCAACACTAAATAAGCATTTTTTTATTTAAAAGAATACAGTATATAAGACACAAGATCTCAGGGCTAAACCTTGTAATTCTGGACAATTTTTTTTTGCAGGCTTGACTTCCAGAGACTACAAACTTCCACCAGTCCCAGCCAGCAGATTTTCTGTGGATATTGGTTGGCCATAATAAAGGTACACTTTAGAAAGAAAGCAAAAAACAAACAAACAGCCCACCTCTGTGAATTCTGTTCTAACAGGTCAGAACAGCTACGTGTGTTTGACCTTTAAATATTTACTGCCCCATGCAACCGCTCAGGTGGATTGTGCAATCGCCTTGGCCTTGTGATTCTGTTGCAAGAACCTCCTTCCGAAGAGATGCTGTCTTGCAAAGCTGCGTTGTCTTGCTATAACTCTTTGCTGCTCTACACTGAACCTTTAGAGTGATGCCTGCACAGTCCTTACTTTAAGGGATGGTATATTTTTAACAGCTCAGCCAAGGTGGCCTGAAATTGGCAATGGTAAATAGATGAAAAGAACGCTGTTTCAGTTAATCAGCCTGAGAGCCAAGGGCTCTATTTAGTGTACAAACATTGCTGTAACCTTTAGATAGGGTTTCCAGGACCAAAAAATGTAGCAAGCCTTCATTCCCACAGAAAGATTTAATAAAGCACTGGTCTTCAGCGGACGGATGGAGGTACTCAGACTGGCTCTTGACCACATCTAAGATGGGTTGCACCAGAAGCAGCAAAACCACCAGCACTTTCTTCTTCTAAGTGAACACACTGTTTGTTATATAGAGGAGGAACACAGAACAAGAGAGCAAGGAAAATAGATAAATTAGGTCAAAGCACCATGGAGACTACAAATGGGCTCTGTTTCTCTGCAGACCCAGACGAAGAAGACCTTACGCTATCCTAGTTCTGTTAGCTGCTGTTGTGTGTGGCAGGCAGAGAGGAGACGTTCTTTCTGGAAATTATGTATTTATATTTATTTCACAAGATTTACATACGGCTTAGTTATAACAGCAGCAACAACCTCTCATTGCATAGGCTTCATAGATTAGTGAGAATGATGTTTCTGATGAAGGGGAATCTAGCCCAAGAAAGCTTGTGCCATTAAAAATTGCTACTCTTTAAGGTGGAAGTGCTGCATGGCCCTCCGAGTGTCCCTATTTTCCAGGGACAGCTGTCCCGGTTTCTGATTTGATCCCAGAATGTCCGACTTTTCCTTAGGATGTCCCTATTTTCATTGGAGAAATGTTGGGGAGGGTATGAAGTTATGTGACTCCCGAGCCAAGGAGATAAGTAACTATACAACCTCTAGAAGACATCTGAAGACAGCTCTGTATAGGGACATTTTTTAATGTTTAATATTTTATTATGTTTTTATAAATGTTGGGGCAACCCAGTCAGGTGGATGAGGTATTATTATTATTATTATTATTATTATTATTATTATTATTATTATTGAATAGGATGTCCTTTTTTCATCAGAAATGTTGGAGGTCATGTTGCTGTCATTTTGCTAAAATTGTACTGTGGCCTTCTTCAGTAGTAATAGTAATAAGTTGTTGCTATTATTGTTGTTGTTGTCGTCGTTATATTTATACCTCACCCTGGGCAAAAAAAACAACAACCCTCAAGCACCCGGGTGGGGGGGTTCCAGAAAATTTATTTATTTATTTTGTGAATTTCCTTAAAAAAGAGTGAGAAACTTCAAATTGTTTGCAAAGCTCAACAACTTTGACCCCCTCCCCTCCTCAAAACAAGCTTCTGTGTCCGGATTTTCACTCTCTGAAATATCACAACCCTGTAAAAATAGTTTTGTGTTATGCCAAGCCCATTATGGCAGCCATTTTGTGACTGGCACTCTCAAAATGTGAAATGTGCCCACTGGTTCAAAAAGGCTGGAGATGCCTAATAGATAGTAGACCACTACGATATTGGTTTCAGGTGCCTTATCATTAGGTAAAGGTACCCGTGCCCGTACGGGCCAGTCGTGTCCGACTCTAGGGTTGTGCGCCCATCTCACTTAAGAGGCTGGGGGCCAGCGCTGTCCGAAGACACTTCCGGGTCACGTGGCCAGTGTGACGAAGCTGCTCTGGCGAACCGGCACCAGCGCAGCACACGGAAACACCGTTACCTTATCATTACCCTTACATAATTACCCTTATCATTAATTTACCCTTACAATAATTTAAACTGCCACTAATCCCATGTCCAGATACACTAGCTGTATTTTCCATTCAACAGAGTTTAGACAGAAAAAGATGAAAGGGGAAATCCATCCACAAGCCATCTCCGTTCCCATCACAACAAACTGATGTTTGATGAAATGCTATAGCATTTCCAGGCAAGCAGAAAGAAACTGAAGTAATTGAAAATAAATGTGGGGCCGGATGGGATTATGCAGACCCTCCAAGTGTCCTCATTTTCCTGGAATGTCCCGCTTTTCCTTAGGACATCCCTATTTTCATTGGAGAAATGTTGGAGTATATGGTCGGACGTCCCTGTTTTCATCGCAGGGTATAAGTAACTATACGACCATGAGAAGACATCTGAAGGAAGCCCTGTTTAGGGAAGTTTTTTTAATGCTTAATATTTTATTATGTTTTTATATATGTTGGAAACCTCCTAGAGTGACTGGGGCAACCCTGTCAGATCGGTGGGGTATAAATTATAACATTATTATTATTATGGAATAGGACGTCCCTATTTTCATCGGAGAAATGTTGGAGGGTATGGATTATGCAAATCATTGAACAGGGCTGGGATGCTTTGCATTCTATCCTATTGAATCCTAAAAGTAAGTAGTTGTACCTTGATTTTCAAACAGCTTAGTTCTCGAACGTTTTGGCTCCTGAACGCTGCAAACCTGGAAGTGACTGTTCCAGTTAGCGAACTATTTTTGGAAGCCGAACGTCCGATGGGGCTTCTGCGGCTTCCAATTGGCTGCAGGAACTTCCTGCAGCCAATCAGAAGCCGCGTGTTGGTTTCCAAACGTTTTGAAAGTCAAACGGACTTCCAGAACGGCTTCTGTTCGACTTCCAAAGTACAACTGCACTAGTCAGTAGATACTGAATGCATCTGCCCAGAGTCGATTCGGGTTTTAAGAGTGAAAACACCCACCAGCCGAAAAGCAAAAGCAATAAACCCTATCCTAAAGGCATAATTGCCCACTAGGCACTTTGATGGTTATGTGTCATAAATTATCTAATGGGAAATAAGCATATAGAGTTGGATGCTGAAAGACTGCCTTTCTGTTCTGCTAAAATGTGTGGTCAGCATAGCCCCCCAACATCAAAGCTTATGGTGCCCATAATCTAGAAGGTTAACTAAACGTCCAGATTCAGTTTCCTTACAGGCAGCTTTTGTTTTCCTTCACACGTATAATTCTTCAGTGAAGAATTAGGTTCCTCAACTCTGCTAGGCAAAAGTTTGGAATCCCTGATGGAGAGAGAGACATACCTGCAGGATGGCATCAGGACCTCAGAGGTCCCCCACTAAGAAAGCTTGAGAAAACCAGGTACCACGGCCTACAGTCCTTCTGGAAAGAAAGGAGAGAAAAGGAGAGAAACAGTATATACAATATTCAGTGAGCACAAAGGCGGCTCACATGACATCAATAATACAGAAATCAGTCTCCAGTAATTTAAAAAATATATATATGAAACTAATATTGTACAATCGCTGTGCATATCTACTCTGAAGTAAGACCCCTTGAGTTCAATGGAACTTACTCCCTGGTATTACCATCTTATTCTTTTTTGCCACCTTAAACTACACGAGGAAAGGCAAGGTAGAAGACTTCTAAATTTTAAGAAAGGAATAACGAAAGTACATAAATTGTGTTGTTCCAAGGGGTGTTCGCCTCACAGCAGTATTTTTTCACTTCTCCTGGGGAGGGGAGGGGACAGTTTTGTTTGTTTCACTGCTCTTTGACAATGTGTAACATGAGAAAATAACAAAAAAATCTAAATAGCAAAAATATGTAGAAAATTTGTTTACAATGCAAATGCTCTGTTCACATACTCTTTGACATGCTGGCTACATTACAGTTTTAACAACAAGTGTGCATTTTCCTGAGACTTATCTATGTGTAGATTAAAAAAATATATCTCGTTTTCTAAGAATTCAAGAGCTGGCTGTATCTCTCAGTATAACTAATTTATTTGCACATTACTGTCACAGTCCAGATCATTCATTCTTCACCTGAAGCTTCTGTTTTTTGTTCCAACCATTTAAACGCCCCCTCACAATCTAACCACACCAATTTTACAGTTCTTCCGTTTTGCAGTTTCTTTAACCATCCCGTGAAGCTACGGGGCAGGTGAACATAAAAGTCGCTATATCCCAACTCTCAATCACACTGAGACCTCTTCCCAAACAGATTTGTAGAACATTGCGTTGCCACCAGATGTGTAAAAAATCCAATGTGTGCGTTCTGGCGTTACCAATATCTGCTTTAAGAGAGAACGATATATGCTCCTAATTTTTGCTGCAGTTACTGGGACCAAAGCTTGGAGGCCCAGAGCAAAGCAAACTTTCCCTGGGGCACCCACATTAAATCCAAACAGAAAAGGCCCAGAACTCACGTTTACCTGCCCGGGCAAGAAGCCTCTTCCTTAGTAACATGGATATAGCAGAAACAGGAGGAAGCCCCAGTTCAGATGGCTGTTCTAAGCACAAAAGGCTCCATTCTTTCCCCTGGCGAATGTCTCCCTGAGCTATAGTTAATAAATACACAAGGGAGTGTGTAAGGGGGGGGAGAGGCTGAACCTGAGCAGGTAACTAGAGGAGGGACTGCCTGTTCGCTCCACCCCATCCACCTTCTGCGGAGGCCCTGACTGGGTGGATCTGCAAGCAATTTGCAACAGAGACACCGAAAGCAAAAACAGGTTCATCTCTGAGCCAGATACCTCTGTCAAATGCCACTCATCTTTTTTTTCCATGCAGCTTTCTGTTTTAGCCTCAGCACAGATGTCTGCCGCTTTTTCAAAACTCAGAGGCCGCTGCTGGTGGTTTATACAAATGTGCTCTTTTCTCACATTTTCTCACTCTTTTCTTTTCTTCTTCTTCGCCAGTTTGAATATCGATCCTCCCGCAAAGCTTCTGTACACAAGCACTATCAAAGGGTGCCTAAGAGGCCTAGAGTCGGTGGAAGAAGACTGGAAAAAGTTTGAAGACTATTTACAGAAATACTGTAAAATTAATGAATGTTAGAAGAATGTTGGAATGAAGTTATATGGCTTTAGTAGAAATGTTATAAGGAATGAAGTATAAATTGATTAATAGAATATTAAAGGGAAAAATAAGGTTAGAATGTGTTAAGATAATTATAGGATAGAAAACAGAGGAAGATGGAAAGGAATTGCTGAAACAATTAACAGAAGTGGAATACAAAAAGGGAGGTGTGAGGAGGTTGTGGAAATAAGTGAATGAAAGATAAGATACTGAAATTGTTTGATGTGTTTTAAACTGTTTTTGTTTTGTTAGTTTAATGTGTTAGTGTTATGTAGTGTCTCTGTATTGTATTGTTCTTTTTTTGTAGTGTTTAAATTGTTGGAAAAGTAATAAATATTATTTTTAAAAAAAAGAGAGGCCTAGAGATCGTTTTTCAAAAGTGTTTATTGGGATTCCATTGTCACCAAAGTGGCAAACTGGAATCTGGTTTGCGCTATTTTGGACGCCCTGCGATGGAACACTGAACAGAATACTGAACATACACGGACAACTTCCTTGTGCAAAGGAAACTAATCATGTTCAAAAGAAAGTTAGGCTGGAGCGCTTCTCCTTGATGGGTAGTTTTCTAGATGCGGGGATATTTTTTTTAAACTGTGATGGAGAAGCATTCCCTTATGGAAGGCACCACGTGTAGAGTGAAACTGAAATGGTACAGCTCAGGACCAAGATGCAAATGACAGCGATAAGGTCTCCCATAATCTTCCACATCTGCTAAAGAGCTTCTAGGAACCTCCAGTTTGGACACTTCCCTCTTGCACTTTATGTGATTGAAGTACCTCTCCCTCAAAGCTACTATTAACTGCAGGGGGTGGAGACGAACAAGTAGCCCCTTGGCCTTATCCTCTTCATGTCCAATGTCAACTCTAAGGCAAGTGGGGGTGGGGGGGACGGGACGGGACCTAAGTCAGAGAAACAGTGAAGGAAGTAAGGGTTAACCCATGGGTAGGCAAACTAAGGCCCGGGGGCCGGATCAGGCCCAATCGCCTTCTCAATCCGGCCTGCAGATGGTCTGGGAATCAGCGTGTTTTTACATGAGTAGAATGTGTCCTTTTATTTAAAATGCATCTCTGGGTTATTTGTGGGGCATAGGAATTCGTTCATTTTTCCCACCTCAAAATATAGTCCAGCCCCTGACAAGGTCTGAGGAGCAGTGAAAAACTTTGCTGACCCCTGGGTTAAACCCTTTCCCTGTTTCTTTGTCCAGATTTTAGAAAGGGAAGAGAATTGTTTTTCATGAATTTGAAAGACGTCCAGCTCTGCGACTGGATCTCTCACCTCGTGTGTAATTTGGCCCTCAGACACACATAATAGGTTTCATTACCTCCGTGAGCATTAAATCCTGTTTGGAGTTATTCCAAGGCGAAGTGCAGAGCCACTCATAAGCAACAACCAATGATAAAAGGAGCCATTTTAGCATCCTTTATGTTAGAATTGTGGGACGCGGCTGGCGCTGTGAGTTAAACCACAGAGCCTAGGACTTGTCGATCAGAAGGTCAGCAGTTCGAATCCCCACGACGGGGTGAGCTCCCGTTGCTCGGTCCCTGCTCCTGCCAACCAGCAGTTTGAAAGCATGTAAAAGTGCATGTAGATGAATAGGTACTGCTCCAGTGGGAAGGTAAACGGCGTTTCCATGCACTACTCTGGTTCGCCAGAAGCGGCTTAGTCCTGCTGGCCACATGACCCGGAAGCTGTACGCCGGCTCCCTCGGCCAATAAAGCGAGATGAGCGCCACAACCCCAGAGTCGTCCGCAACTGGACCTAATGGTCAGGGGTCCCTTTACACTTTACCTTTATGTTAGAATTACCAAGTGCATGGTCACCCACATCTTCCCCGTCTGTGTAATGGAGGATTTGTTTTCCGTATAGTACTGCATTTCCCCCCTACAAAGGATTCTGCTCTTCAGAAAGCAGGGCCCCCAAAGGAGCCGCCTTGAATGGAGACAATATTTCTTGTTCCTTCATATCTTACAAACATTGATTTATGTCATTATATAGTGTTGATCACTATAGACTATAGCAAATATTTCAAGAATGTGACTTGTCTGTTCCTCCTGCTGCCCTGGTCATTCAGGAAGTTACTGAGTAATGCAGGTCCCGTCTCCTAAAGGTGCTACGGGGATTTATTTTTGTACGATGTAGCATAACAAGTACAGTGGTACCTCAGGTTACATACTGTCAGAGCTGCCTCAGGTCCCAGCTCACAGAGGACCAACGCCAGTCCGTTGTTATATAAAATAGTCTTTATTTAAGTTCAGTTTCTCTTTTACAGCCACGGCGCGCAGCTCTACGTCTTAAATCCTAGACCGCCGAAGCTCCGTCTGAGTCTCCTCCCCCCAGACACCAGTTTAAGACCCTAGCCTTGCTCCACCTCTTTCTCTGCTCCCTCTTCCTCTGGGTCCGCCTGTCCGCCGGGGTTTTCCCCTTCCTAGACTCTTCTGACGCTGAGTCCCCTGAGTCTTCCCCCTCCCTCCGGCGGGCTTTAGGACCTGGTTCCCAATCCGGGCTTTCTGCTGTCCCGCGCGCCTGTACATTTGAACTTGGCGCGCGCGCCCAGCCCGCCACCTTCCTTCTGACCGTTATACTGCTCCTGTCGCTGCTCCCCTCTTCGGGGACGCTAGCCGGGCCTGACTCCTCCTCCCTGCTTGCCGGAGGAGACGCTGACTCTGACCTATGGGACTCTTCCCCCCCACTACGCTCCGGTGGGGAAGCTGGCCCTGACTTCCAGCTACTGCTTTGGGAGTCTCCGCTGGCCCCCTGCTTCTGGTGTGTCCCCCCTGGGACCCCCCTTGCCCTGGCCATCGGCGCCCCCTTCTGGGAATCTTCTGATTCACTGGAGAGGCTTATGGAATCTCTCGGGTCACTGTCATTCTGCCCTCCGCTGCCCTCAGATTCTTCCCCTTTGCTCTCCATTTCCTCTCTCCCCTGCGCCTCTGCTCCTGAGCCCCTGACACATACGCTTCAGGTTACAGACTCTGCTAACCCAGAAATAGTGCTTCAGGTTAAGAACTTTGCTTCAGGATGAGAACAAAAATCGTGCTCTGGCGGTGCAGCAGCAGCGGGAGGCCCCATTAGCTAAAGTGGCGCTTCAGGTTAAGAACAGTTTCAGGTTAAGAACGGACCTCCGGAACGAATTAAGTACTTAACCACTGTAATGGCCATGCTGTTGGAAGAAATGCTCACCAAACAAAAGTTGCTCTTGTACATAATAACTATCTTCCAGTTCATACAAAATCTTTTTTTTTTTAAAAAACCCACCTTATCTGAAGTGAGTAAGCAG